GGTTTCGAGAGCAAAGCCTAGGGAGGAGTTGCATTAACACATGAAAGAGCCAATATGGTCGACAAAGGCAACTTATGAAGGATCAGGTAAGAACGTAGCCAAGTGATTATCTACCCATATAAATTATTAACTTTTTAAAGGCCCTTCTGGGTTCGCGCATGCAAGGATGGAGTCCCACAAAGGGTGATGACTGTACCTAGAGGCTAAAACATCAGTCCATTGCAGAGTAAATGTCTTTTATGATAGTTTGCTAAGTGAAGCTCAATCTAAAACAAAGCACTCCGTAATCCATCATGGCCAATCTTATTTTAAAAAATTCATAGCTCAGTTGGAGAAAAGTGTTTACGAAGGCTAAAGTAAATGTAGTGAGATTAAATTACAAAACAGTTGATTTGACCACATTCTGTGGAGACTTTTGCGCCAGGAATGATAGATTATTCGATTTATGGCTCTAGATAAAAAGGTATATCCACTCTACTTTGATTAAGGTAATGAAGAACTGGTAGTAGAATTTTCCCACAATGATGAGTAGAGCTGACGTCTCCATTGAATTTCACATAGCCTTGCTTTCCCAAAATATATATCATATTACTTATTTACTGGTAGTCCCGAAATTATCTAAATACGAAAAATAAGTAACGTAGTCGATTGTTATAGCAAAAATAGGTTTGCATCATCGACAATCCCACCAAAGAATATTGCACGGCAAAAGGCCTGGCCTATGTTGACATTCACATCTGCCCTTGACTTAAGGACACCCGCGGCGATGTGGTCGTGATTAATGTATCAAGCTCAAATGCTGCACCGTCACGGTCCGACTTCCGCTGGGGCTGTTGATAAGACCTATGCAAGGTCGAAACTGCGGTCCACTCTGAATGAGGACAGCATTTTGGAAAGCAGGGCTATGTGAAATTCAATAAAAAAACGTCAGTTATACTCATATAATTGTATGAAAATTCTACTACCAGTACTTCATCACCTTAAACGAAATAGGGTGAATACATCCCATATTACTTATTTACTGGTAGTCTGGAAATTATACTTACACACGAAAAATTTAGATACGAAGACGGAGTATGTGGGTTGTACAGTACTGGTTTGGCCTAATTTTAACAACTTGGTCGGAGCGACAGAGAGACTTCGTGGAACATACCGAGTCATACGTCCGCCGCCGAGGAATTCATGGTTTCCAGCATAATAATGTTAACTTGGTAAATACCTAAACGTTTCGCCGGCTTCATCGTTAAGAGGCGACATCCTTAACAGGGAGTGATCTTGTCTGTTTGATAGGTTATAGCTCTGTACTAAGGATGGCGCCTCTCACTGGAATGTACCAAATCAACTATCCTATTCTAGAAGTGATCATATATACTATGACGACACTAGGTATATTCCAGTTTTTCGGCTGCTCCAAACAAATTGCAAAATAGAGGCCGCACCAACAATTTAGGTTTATCTAAGTCTAAAAGAAAAATAAGATTTCTCAAAAAAACATTTTAATAAGAAACAAAGCAAGGCCTGAAGTATTAGGTTTAAACTGGATAAGCGAATACAACGTATGCAACTAGAAAGTACTATACATGGCCACGAGCGCAATCAAATCAGTTTAGTTAAATCGAAGTGTGTTTGGCAAAAAATACCAGGGCATTATGGCGGCGCAGGTCTTAGGGGAAAACGCTAATAAAGGACAGTGTGGGATGAGCCAATTGGAAGAACAGACTAACATGATAAACTCTTCAATGAGCGAATAGTTCTAAACTCTTTTAGAAGGGATGCACGGTGGGCAGTTAGACAAAAATGAATTGTGATATGAAAAAACAGCCTCATAATTAAGGTGGCACTAAGTACATGAAAAATGGCATTAAAACTAGATAATGTTTTACATTTCCACAACCAATTTAGAGATTTCTAAATAATATAAATAAATACTTAAGATTTAGACTAAAGTTCAAATATTCTGAAGTCAGCTGCATTTGCATTGGAGTACAAGAAGTAGGACGAAATCAAAGTTGCAGGAAGTAAATTCGAGGATCCTCAATAAACGATTTGATTTTGCGCAAAAACGTTACTGCTTCGCGTCCATCTATTAATCGATGATCATAGGTAAGAGCTAGGTACATCATCGGTCGAATCACGACCTGGCCACCCCGAACTACAGGGCGGTCAAAAGAACCATGAAGACCTAATATCGCAGATTGCGGTGGATTTATTATGGGGGTTCCAAATAGCGAACCAAACACACCCCCATTGCTGATAGTAAATGTTCCGCCCTCCATATCTTCAACAGCTAACTGACCGCTTTTGGCTTTTTCTCCAAGTGCATTAATGCCACGCTCTATATCAGCATAATTCATGTGCCCCACGTTGCGAAGAACAGGAACGACAAGACCTTATAATGAAAAGTCAGAAATTAAAGATGATAGATAAGCAAGAAGTAGAACTAGCATAAGGAAAGGAGTAATCTAGATTAAGGCAATTACCCTTTGGAGTCGCAACAGCAATGCTGATGTCTATGTAATCCCGATAGACGATTTCGGTATCATCGATCACAGCATTGACAATCGGCTGATCCGTTAGAGCAATAGCTGCTGCCTTTGTAAATGCACTCATTATCCCCAGCTTGACTCCATGCTTTTTTAAAAAGGCCTCTTTGAATGCATTTCTAAGTTCGATTAGATTTGACATATCAACTTCATTAAATGTTGTTAGCATAGCACATGTATTTTGTGATTCTTTTAAGCGTTGAGCAATACGCCTGCGCATTCTGTTCATTTTTACACGCTCTTCGCCTCTTAATGCGCTCGAAGAAGATGAAGGACTTTCTTGGTCCTTCGGACGAAGAAGAGATGGAGATGTAGGAGGTTGGACCACAGAAATGATTGTCTCTTTAGGAGGATAGGTAGCAGAGTCTACGACTTCGCGTTTAGAAGAGACTGGATGAACCAAATCGGGGCTTCCTAGAGAATCTGGCTTTTTCTCTGTATGGGGCTTAGCGCCGGTACCCGAATCCATTTTGCAAAGTTCCTGTTTCGCAACGACTTTGCTTCCATCGGCAACAAGCAATTCTTTTATTACACCTGAACAGGGCGCTGGAAGAGGAACAGTAGTTTTTTCAGTCTCGATCTCGCCAACTAATTCGTCCTCATTCACAAAATCTCCAGGAGATTTAAGCCATCGTATATCGCCTTCTGATATAGATTCGGCAAAAGGAGGCGTGTATATAGTAACGAATTCTTTAAGAAGCTGAGTGGAATGAAAACGCCGTAAACGCATAGCGCCCAAGGTTGGATAAACAGTATCACAAAATAACTCAT